CAAATGGGAACTTCGACCTTATCCGAACTTTCTCCATTGCTTCCACCTGTTACTAGTGGGGCCCTGAATTTAACTTCTACTTTGTCTTCGGTTTTGCCATCAACTCTTGCTCCTGCCCATACAGCTTCATTAGCTTCTGAAACAGCACCAAGCGTAAGGCTAAATAAGGTTCCTACTGCTGCTCCTTCTAGTATGGCACTAAAGGCCCGTTCGGCAACAGGCCCAGAATGTATTTTTCTACTGTCTAAAATGAGAAAAGCTATAAGTTAGTTCGGTAACCCGATATAAAAGAAATTATGTGAAGTTGAATAATTCATTCTTACTGTAAGTAATAATTTTAACTTTTTCAAACAACGACTTTGTTGGAAAGTACTTCCTAACTTATAGCTGCTTGCCGAACGGGCCCTAAGTTCTAGCTTGCCAGTAGCGTCTTCTTTCAACACTTCCAGCGATGTAAATTTTATTGCTCTGCTTAACTCTAACAAGCCTAAGACTGTTTTTGGCCTATCTCTGCCATATCCGGCTATCCCCCAGTCTGTGCCAACCGTTGGTGGAGCAAACAGTTCAAGTTACACCGAAGTATCAACACCTGCTTTGATAACCCCGGGTCAGCTGTTGTTTACTTGTATCCAAAAACCTATTCCCAAGATGACCAAGAGTCTGAATCATGAAGAATTGTATGAGATTCTTAATCTCTGAACTCTCGGTTGATATTAATTGGTTTTAGAGAATGTCGCTGTAAACTCTGCATCTCATCCATCTACTTGTCTGTAACTAAAGTTGCCACAGTCCAAATCCCTGTCGCTAAAGCCTTTCATAAGATGATGTTCGATGTGATATGAGCCAAAGCTTATTGTAAGATACAAATATCAAATGCGCAGGTTCAAACAACAACTATGCTCGATGCTAAATGCATGTGTAGAAAATTTTGTTGAGGCTCTCATTTGGATGACGAAAAGGGAATATCCTCACTCCTCAAGTGTAGCAGGAGTGGGCTTTTCTTGAGGAGTGAGGATCTAATATGAACAGTCATAAATGTTTGCAGCCATGAATAACAGTTTGGACATGCATGCTTAATTATAATAAGAAATTCATTAGATTGATTACCAACAACTTCATTATTCAAATTATTTAAAATGTAAAAAAGAGCTTGAGATGATTGACAGAGTTCGTGTAAAGAACAAACGTAGGGCCATTTTGTCAAAACCCCAACAAAGATTGTTGATATTTGTAAATACTCCAGCAAAGATAAAATATTTGTGTTTGCACCACCAAATTAAATAACAGTTCTGTAAAAAATTTAATGTTTAAATTTGAAGTAGTTTTTTTAATAATAAAAAAATCTGATGGTGACGTGGTTTAAATAAAAAATAATTTGATATGTGTTTTAATCCGATGATTAGATGAGTGGCTAGGATCGTACGAAAAATATAAATCAAATAGTGGGAAACTGCTTCCGTCTTCTTCTTTGTTCATTCTCTACAAATCCTAAAAAAATTCACCTGAAACAAGTGAAGTTTGAATTACTCTTTAACATGAATTCTTTGCTCAGATAAAAGCACATACTAACACCTTCTTCAACATGTTTCTTGCAATACTCAATAACCATTGCAAGAATATTGCTAGTCACGTTTGGTAGAGGAATACCTTCTTTATAACAATCATCTTCAATTAGGGATGTTTATCGAGCCTATCAAGCTGAGTATCGGTATGTTCGAACTCGGCTCGTTACTTATCGAGCCGAGCCCAAAATTCAAACGAGCTTTTATTTGTGTTCAAACTCGGCTCGTTAACGAGCTCGTGTAGAGCTTTTATTGAGCTAAGCCTGAGCCGAGCTCGAACTACTCGGCTTAATTACATATAAAAAAGGTATTCGAGCCTAACAAACCGAGCTTTGGTAAGTTCGAGCTTGGCTCATTTCTTATCGAGCCAAATGAGCCGAGCTCGAGCTGAACCTTAATTTCAAACGAACTTTCATTTGTGTTCAAACTTGGCTCGTTATGATTATCAAACAAGCTGAGTCGAGCTGCTCGATTCGATAAGCACCCCTATCTTCAATCATGTTTTTGATTGTTTCAGATTCACATGCAACTACTTCTTCTACTTCAAAAACATGTTGTATGTTCTTCTACTTCTACGGTCTCTGTTGCCATTAGTCCCAAACCCTAATTCTGTTTCTTCAAAGCAATAAAGATTCATGAAGTCTCTTTATCTTCATGTACTTATAGAAAAAAAAATAAAAAATTACTTGGGTTTCACGGTTCTTGATTCATGGGCCTATAGCATGGGTCGGTTTTGGTTTGGTTCCCAAACCGTTTGCCATCACAAACTTTTCGTCTTATTACAAGCTTTATTTATGAGTTGCACAGATACAACTCTCTTAAAATCCAAGACAGATGGACCCACTCAATGATTGCCGGATTTGATGCTATCTGGGTACAGGTGTGAGATGTCAGCACTGATGATCCACTGCAACCGGTGTTTATTTGTTACTTTTTCTAAATCATATCATCACTACCATCCATTGTAGGTGGTGATTACATCAAAATCCATTAGATCAAGACGTGGCTGCAGGAATATCTGATGTTGGATAAGTTAGAAAATATCTGATGAATGTATGGTATTGGTAGTGAAAAGGTTTTAAAACCCTAGCTAAACCCTTTGCTTTTTGAAGAAGTATCTCGAGAAAAACATAACAGCGTACTCAGAGTTGCAGATACTAAAACAAGCAAAAACGTTTCTTTTACACTTTACTTTCTCTTTTAATGGCGATCAGAAGAAGAACTAGCAAACTTCTTCTTATTTCCATACTCATTTTAATGACTTATTTACTTTCTCCATTAACATTCACCCAAGCTTCTCGATTCAGTAAGTCTCTACTCTATCTCTCTCTTCAATTCATCTCTCTTTATCTAAAAAGCAAACATATTATAACTTATGGGATGTTTTCTGTTCTAAACAGGCTTTCAAGGAGAGAGATTGGTGACAAAAGAAACAACTTTGAATGAACACAATGTATGTAATAAAAAAAACCCATTTTTTCATTCAAATCTTTAAATACTGAAATGGTTCTGCTTTATGATTTCAGGTTGAGATGAATGTAGCTGAAACAAGTTTGCAAACAGGGGTTGTTTTAGCTGGCATTGGGTTAGATGATTCAGAAAGGCAAGTTCCAACAGGTCCAGACCCACTTCACCATAACCAAGCTCCTCTTGAACCTTAAAGATGGAAGCTAGAGATCGATGAGAAATGCTTGAGAAGAACTTAACTTATACATAGAAGGACTTTTTTAAAGTTATTATTAGATCTGTATATGAATGGTTTAATTTGTTCATAGTACAGGGGAGGTAAACATATATGTTTGATTAGAGTCTAAAGATTTAAACTTTTGGTGTTGTAGAAAATTTTATTTTGGGTTGGTGAACTACTACCATTGCAATTTTGTTGAGATTAATTGAATATCAAAAATGTCAAAACAGGTTTGCCATATCATATCATTATCATCATATATATTGTGCACTTTTGTTGTATTATTGACCAACCTGAACTGCTTTACATCTTCAGTAGAATTTGCAAATTCTGTGAAAAATATAGTGGCATGTACAGTAGTCTAGTTCTGAATTCATGGCTTCGCCTATGTATATATATTGGGAAAATGGTGGAGGACTGAGAATTGTTTGTATAGACATATCTATACCAAATTATAAGTTGCACAATAGACAGATTGGTGACTGGTGAGGGAAATCCTCTACTTCAAAACATAGGCCACAATAGCACTCTGCAGACATCCCCACATAAAGCAGTACCGAACTGGACTGCACCACCATTTCCATCTCTGCAGCAAACAGCAGTTACACGACCACCATTACTCTGCACACAGCCGACTCGACCATCTTCAGTTCATTTTGTAAGTAACAAACTACAAAATCCTTTGAAATTTTTGGTAATTGGTGGCACAGGAAGTTGAGCCATGATTTCCTGTAAACACAACATGCAAACAACTATGGCAAATTACATTAAAAAAAAAAAATCTCACCTACTGCTTTTATGGACTCACGCTTCATGTACCCATGGGCCAAAGCTCAAAGGAAACAAAATTAATGCACAATTTCAGTTACAAAAGCCCAAAATGTTCAAGTTAAAATCAGCCCACGTAAGGGGAGGCATTTGAATTTCCGTCCCAAATGGGCTTTGTGTCAACAACGAAGTAAAGTTATTTTGGGCTTATAACGGTCTAGAATAGACCCAACCCACAAACAGAAAACCTAGCAAATAACATTTGCCAGACACTACTTATATAAAGAAAGAAGGTTGTAGGGTTTCATCTCTTCTGCTCATTCATAACGCCACATTTTGAGTAGAAATTAGGGTTTTCAGAGAGAAACTCTTCATCAATGGCGCCGACGACCAAGAAAGCTCGGGTAACGAGAAACCCAGAACTAATTAGAGGAGTTGGTAAGTATTCAAGATCTCAGATGTACCATAAGAGAGGTCTTTGGGCTATTAAGCAAAAGAATGGTGGTACTTTCCCTCATCATGAAGCCAAACCAGCTGAACAGAAACCTGTTGTCAAAGCTCCTAAGTTTTACCCTGCCGAAGATGTTAAGAAACCTTTGGTCAACAAACGGAAACCCAAACCCACTAAGCTCAGGTTTTTATGCATTTCTGTTGGTTCTGTATTTCATTTTCAATCTAGAAAAGCTTCATTTCTTTTTTAATTTAGAGATTAGTTTTGATTTGGGGTTTTGTTTGTTTTGATTGAAATTTAGGGCAAGTATTACTCCTGGGACTGTTTTAATCATTTTGGCTGGAAGGTTTAAGGGAAAGAGAGTTGTTTTCCTTAAACAACTTGCATCTGGATTGCTCTTGGTCACTGGTGAGTTTTCTGTTAATTTGATTTAAAATAAGTACTTAAATGGACTAGTTGGTGTTGGTTTGATTTGCTTGTTTTGAATGGATTGTGTGTAGTTTTTCCTGTTGTGATATGTGATTCAATTTAGTCTGGGATGTGATGAGATAATCAACGATTATCAGATGTTCAATTTTATTGTTCTATGCTGAATAATTGCACGTCAGTCTGATCCCAATTAATCATGTCAAATTTTACGGCAATTTTTTTATGTCCAGTAATTGTGCATTGATTGATATAGTTGATCATATGTATGCAAAAGTTTGGACTAATGAATTACCGTAAAGCGTATATCTGTGGTGGTATCATCTAATTTACCTTTATTTGATCATTTTATTGTCATTCCGTTATGATAATGCTACCTAGAATACATGAAAATTCTGGTTAACTTTTTTTTTCTACTGACATTCTCCATTTGATCAGTCTGTATGCCATTTTGTGTGTTTTATTTGATCATGTATGTTTTGAATGTGATGATAGACTCAAACATCTTATCAGAGGCTCAAATTTGTGCTCTGCTGATTGTTTTGCACGTCAGTCTGATCAATGCACTATTCTTCCTGGTGATTTTCAGCACACTAAAAAAATGACTTGCAATTGGTGTTGTTAATATGGATTTTTTGAATCATAGTTATTTTCCTAATTCATTGAGTGACATAGGAGCTCTCCAGCATGATTATTTCAAGTTAGCATCTAAATTTCTGTATATGAATGGTTAACAATAGTAATGTCTATGAATAATTTAGTAGTCAGTGTTGGGCTGTTTTAGTTGAAATTTGTAGACCATAACATAAATAATTGAAAATGCAAATTTAAGTTTGGATGGAATATCAGTTGATGCCAATCAACTTTCCTGCATCAACTTTCCCAGTACGCTGGCTTAACTTGATTTACTTCACATGTGTTTATACTATCTGCTGCTCTTGATATTTCAATTTCTTTCAGTAGTCTAGTTGAACCAGACCTAATATCTCTCTTGTTCTATTGTTGCAGGACCATTCAAGATCAATGGTGTTCCACTTCGTCGGGTAAACCAAGCTTATCTTATTGCCACTTCCACCAAGGTTGACGTCTCTGGGGTAAATGCTGATAAATTTGATGACAAGTACTTTGCCAAACAAGCAGAGAAGAAAAAGAAGAAGGGTGAGGGCGAGTTTCTTGAACCAGAGAAAGAGGTTAGTTGATTCTCTCGTCTTTTTCCATGTTTCTTTCATTGTTGTAGAAACTTGTAAGTTCTAATTAATTGTTTTCTTTTGGTAATTTGTAGGAGAAGAATGTGCTCCCTCAAGAGAAGAAAGATGACCAAAAAGCAGTGGATGCTGCCTTGCTGAAGTCGATTGAAGCAGTCCCTGATTTGAAGACATACTTGGCTGCAAGATTTTCTCTCAAGTCAGGCATGAAACCTCATGAGCTTGTCTTTTAAAATATTCATCATGGAAGGTGTTAGACCTGAGTTTTGCTACTTAGAAGTTGTCCAATTTTCTTCTATCAGTGTTTGTACTTTTACTGGTATTAAAAACCTAGAAATTTGTCATTTTATACATTATGTGAGGATTTCTTTCAATTATTTGAAATTATCATTATGTGTTACTGAAGCAAGTCCTTGCCAAAAAAAATCAACAACTGCATGCATGTTACCGACTTGTGTCACAAAATGCTTGGTTTGTCGTCTTCCATTAAATCTTTCATTGTTGATTTTGGTGATGGTGTGATGTATTTCCCATTGCTATTTTCTGGGATTGCTGAAATATTTCATTGCTATTTTTCCCAAGACTTGCTAGTTTATCATTGCTATTTTTCCTTGCTGCTGTTGTGATGTGTAAACAATAAATATCTTCATCTTTGCCTGCTTCCATTGAATGCTTTGGCTCCTCAGTGGCCAAATATCTTTCTACTAGAATCATTATCAGAGTAAAGTAGTAAACTTAAGGATCCTAATTTTCCTTGAGAGGTATAAGGTGTCTAATGTCTAACCAAATTTTTACTAATATCTAGTGAATAGGGATATCAAGTTAACTACTGAAAGAAAACATTAAATTAGTAATTCTATGGTGAAGTCTAATCACAAACTCATCAGCTCAGCTACCTCACCCTAAAATGTTGATGAGAAAACAGGAAGAGCAGTCGAATCACAAACTCATCAGCAACCTCCTATGCCTAGTTATGAAAGTACACAAATCTACCAAACCGAGACACATCTAAGTGTGGTTGGAAATGACTACCAACTGGTCACCCATTGGATCAAACAACAGGTTAGAACATAAAAACTTAGTAAGAATAGTAATCTCAATTCCACAGAAACATTTCAAATAAACTGCAACACTTGTGTACATATGAAAATTTTAAAAAGGAGTCCAGTGAATTTTTCTTTTTTTCCTACAGCTTTTTAGGAATTATCAAACTCATAAGCACACAGACTGAAAGCTTTGTTGGCATAGACTCTCAGTAGCTAGTGACTTCCTTATTCTAAAAATCACTAGTAATAGACTAATAGATATAGACGACGTCCAATGTGGTTGGGGAAAACTGCTGTAAATTTTGGCTATTTACATTAAGTCTCACACTTGTATTATCACACAAAGTTGTGTTTGGAATAGGAGACAACAGAAAGACAATCAAATCACAAACAATAACTGTATAATCATTCCTGAAATTTAACTGACAATTTCGCAGAAAATTTACTTGATACACGTATTCAGATCATCCCGTCTATTCGAGCTGTCAATCTTTTGAAGAAATTACTTGGAACAGAAGGTAATTTACTTCGAAATCTGGGGTGTCGGAGCATGTAAAGGCCTATAAGCAAAGTTAGTACTCTGAATGGAGTCACATACAATACTATAGCTGCAATGAGACAGAAGAGTATGAAGAGGCTGGTTGCTCTTGGGTCTCTCCAACTGAGAAGAGAGTGGAATCTTTCCCCCTGCGTTGCCATGTCTCCAACCACTGTTTGTATTCTCCCTGCGACACTTCTTAGCCTATCATAACGCAGTCTGACCAAATCAGGCTGTCTAGATGTTGGGAAAGTGTCAAACTCCTCGTCAAGCTCATCTCGGTGGATAGCCTCAGCCCACGATAGTTTGGTATCCATGTGCGGTGGGTGCCTAGGGCGGAATCTGTAGTTCCATATGCCGATGAGGAACATGTACAAGAAAATGGTTGGCAGTATCAATTCTGGGTAGCATATCAGTATGAGGAACAGAACATGAACCAACACCGTTGTGATTGGGTTCTTCCAGTGACAGACATCATCGAACCATCTATTAACTGTAATCATGCCCGACATTAGAGACATTATCCTGAAGAAGTTGGCTTTACTTCTTCTCATACTCCACATATGTGAATCTACATCTAACATGTATTCGACAATCTCTTTCCTAAGCGGGGGTTCAGCACGTGCGAGCCTCAAGGCAACTATGTTCATTGCCTGGTGTCTTAGGCTGTCTAGTTGGTTCACTGTGAAAGGATGTATGTAATGCATCTTTGGTAGTAATGGTTGACTATATAGGTACATCATGTTTGCGAGCGACAAACAAGTGAAACGCACAGCTAACTGGAGCTCCCCCATTTTCTTAACACCAGACGGATGTAGAACAAGAAGGGGGTATGAGTGAGTGTAAATCCTATATGTTTCAAGAGTTGATAGTCGAATTCTCACCTTTCCAATCCTCGAATCTTTTCCATGACCACCACCAGCAGGTTTATCACTGCCACCCAAGTGACAGTTGTCGAAAACTCCTAATGTAATCACAGTACAGGGGTCGTACACTTCCCATGTGTATTGTTCATTCCACTTGGGACTGGCGCTGTCTATTATTGTCCTGGTACGTACCCACTTCTGTCCGTACTTTGCAACACAGTAGGCATCTGTGGTGCCTCGTCCATCCTTCATCTTCATTGGAAGCAGCCCATTTGCACTCAAGATACCTACCTCCAGAATGCCAATTGGTTGCTTCCAAAGCTGCCGTGCAGTTGGGCGCTGGTCGCTTATGTACATGGTGGATTCGTCTAGAACATGGTAAGCACCCTCAAGGCAAACTCTGAGATGAATTCTGCTTGAAAACTTGAGTTCCTTTCTCTTGTCACCTTCCAACACACCGAAACCAAATTTCTCAAGGTTGAACCATTTTGAATGGACTGGTCTGTGGTCCAAACGCTTCTCAAAGATGTTAAGTGGCAAACTTATTTTTCCGACCATCTCTTCTTTAGATTGGTGAACACGGTCCTCAACTGTGAGGACCAAGTGTTCTTCAAAAGGCTCAGCTGCTACGAAGAGAAGGTCTTCATTCCATAATGGATTTATTGCTCGAGGAAATATCTTTGTCTTGAGAAGCTGATTACCAACTTGACACTTCACGAAAACATCTGGCAGACGGCTTCTGTCGTTTGGCTGGACATCTTGAGCTTCAATTACATTAACCCTTAGATACCATAGTTTGGGTGAGACATACACCTTCGACCGAATGTTGAATACGCCCTCTCCATGAACAGAAGCAGCATCCGAGTGCCAGGCCTCTGGGAAGGCTTCATCAGCTTGTGTTCCCATCCAAACGGCAAGCATGATCTCGCCTCTCACCTTACCCTCCCCACGCCTCTCTTCCAGTCTATACCATTGTGGTGCCAATGGGCTATCAGGTGGCACCCTTGTTGGTACCTCATTCAGGTCGAAGATCACCCTGCCAAGATAATCATCTCTTCCCACCATCTCTTTATCCTTCACAAAAACTTCGACCATCGATGACTGGACCCTGTCTTTAGAGAATGCAAAAACTTGGTTCCATTCGGGATTAGTCTTTTTCTCAAAATGCCTTGTCGTTCCTTTGTAGTTTCCAAGCTTCACTTCAATGTAAGGATCGCAACTTCCAGTGATGGAGCTTGTTGGAAGTTCTTTAGCTTTGACCACTCGAACATATAGATAGTACATCTGTTCCACAAGGTCATATGTGCTGGCGAGTCTTTCTCCACTCATCCATCCTCCACTACCTCCACGAACTCCTCCATTTGGCCATCGTTCTCCGAGACGTGGACTAGTATCTTTCAATTTGAAGTCCTCTTGGCGGTTAGCATGGGCTTGCGGGTTGATCTGGTGCATTGTTGATGATGATACACTTACTGGTCTCTCCAAAGATATTCCTTGTTGATGGAAAGCTTGATGTTTATGTATGTATTGTACAGTCTCGACAATAATTTCTCTAGGCTCCTCTGGTTCCTCGGCTGCAGTTGTTCCGCTGCTATCTGCTGAAGTTGTAGTTCCAGTTGCAGTTGACGTATTAGCCTCAACTTTTAAACTATTATTAACTGCAGCAGGAGAAGCTTTAGGCACAGAGAGAAAATCTTTGGAGCTGTTGGCAGTAACTTCAGCAGTAGAAACAGTGGGGGGAGTGTTACTATATGCAATGGATTCAATATTAGAAGCTGCTGGGTTTTCTGTGGACGTTGTTGTAGTTGTCGAAGAAACAGTTGGAGTTAGTGCTAGTGCCGGTTGATGGGATGTGGGAAGAGATTCAGCTTCAGATTCTTGCGAAGTATAAATTTTAAGACCAATTTC